GACTTTGACAATGCAACCAGTGGCGAGAAGAAACCGGACCCCACGAAGAGTGGGAAAGCTCCACCCGATGTGGAATCAGCCAAAGGGAAACTTGAGTTTGGCACTGGGGGTTCACCAGAAGAAGTAGCAGCATTAAAACTTGAGCTGGAACTGGAACAACTTGAATTGGAACAGCTTATGTTGGAAGAAGCAATGGGGATGAGTCTTGAGGAAGGGATGGCCAACCAAATGGCTTTAGAGCAACGACTTGATCAACAGAAGTCCCTTCTCAACAGTTCCATTTCAGCTTCCAGTGCAGTTGCTCCAAGCCCCTTGTTTTAAGTTACAACCGGCATTTTCATTCCGACCCTTTTTGGAGGAGGACCCTAAGTGGAATTCTCAACATCAACCATGGCCACCAAACTTAAGGTGCCATCTACATGGGTGACATGGACAACATGGACACGCTTCCCTATGAACTTGGTGAGCCAGAAATTCTACTGAAGGACTTTGGACTTTGATGATTCGCATTGTATTTTTGGGGCCCTTGGCTTCATGCCTGCATCTTGTGGGTGTCCAATCAGCACTAGGGTTCTATGAAGTTCCATACCCAATTTTTTCCAACGGTTTGATGCCACTTCCTTCCAGCTGCTTGCTGACAGGACCTGCCTCCATCGCCCACGGTGCCCACTTCGGTTGAAGACCCGGGCTCAAAACCTGCAGCCGACAAACTTGATTTGGGTGAAATGACAATCAGCCGTCCTGGCATTCTTAAATCGCTCAAACCAGTGTCACCAGCAGAGCAATCTGACTTGACCAAATCCAAACGCAAACAAAGGGGCAAGGGCTCAGATGATGACAATGATTCCTATGCAGATGATGTTGAAGCTGGGTTGTCAACAAAGGCTGCACGAAAACCAAAAGCAAGAGCCAAGGCAACCAAGGAGCCCAAGGAGAAACAAGCAACCAAGGAGCCCAAGGAGAAACCAACACGAAAACGTCAGTGCAAAGAGGCCAATGAGGCAATGCCAGCAAAAAAGGTCAAGAGAGAAGATTCCCTGCCAAAGGTGGCGAAGGTTGTAAAGAAAAGAAAGGCTGTTGCAACACAGAAGTTGGAGCCAAAGGATTCACAGGAGGTAGATGCTGCCAGTCCCGTGAGCACCAAAGTGAAGGCGCCCAGGAAGGCAAGGAAGGCAAGGAACCATGCAGCAAAGACCAAGACCACGCGTGAAGGATTCCCAGAGGAGAGGAAGGCAGGGAAAACAAAGGCTGAGGTAGAGCATGACACTGAGAACTTGCCAGGCAAGAGGAAGCGACGAGCCAACAACCTGGAGGAAGGCAAAGCTGAGGAATGGCGCAAGGAGAAAAGGCCAGAGGCAAAGAAGGCTGATGGCAAACAGAAACGAGCAACCAAGGCGAAGGAGGACAAACTCCCAAAGAGCACCAAGACAAAGGCAAAGGCTAAGGAAAACGACCCTGATATGATCAAGGCAAAGCAGGAGAAGAAAAAGCAACTGAGTCGCAAGTCTGCCGCGTACCATCGGGCATTCAAGAAGGCAAAGGACGAAGGCATGACCGAGGAGGAAGCCCGAGCAAAGGCCAAAGAAGTTCCTAGGCTTTATGCCCCGTGAGTTCCCAACAAGGTCCCAGAACTGAACTAATGGAAAAGCCGTGTTTTTTTCCCAAATTTGTACCCTTTTTATCCCCTGAGTGACCTTGTTGGAACTAAGAAAAGAGCACCATTTCCAGACACTTATAAATATCAAAGTGTACATCTTGATGTGTCTAAAGCTATTTTCGTTTTTTTGGGGCAGGAAACCTACTGAGTAAGTTGTTGGGAACCCCGGAAGATATCTCTTACTGGTTTCCAGGGTTGCTCAAAAGATTTCTTGAGGAAACGGAAAGAAAATTGATTCGAACTTAAGCTTCATTGCTTGCGACATTGTGCTTAGGCATACCATCAGGCTTCTTGATTTGAGAAGATTGACCAGACCTTGCGCTACTCAGAGCTGCTGAGATGTCTCTATAGATATCTATATATGTTTTGGGGTTTGCAATCTTGCAGTTGACAAGAGTGCAGGGGTTTCACGTGAGTGGCCATACCTTTTGAATCCGTGCAGCTGCACAGTGCAGCCATGCGAGATGGAGGGCCCAACATGTGTTGTTACAACATTTAGACACCTAGGACCTAGGCCGTTGGAACCGTTGAAAAAAATTATGGTCTGCAATTTCTGGGCAGTATACAACTTAAGATCGGATCTGCACTGCTATCACTTAGAATGAGCAAGTATGTACTTTCTCTTTCCCAGCTTATACTTTCCCCAGCTATCTCCCTAGCCCACGCAGGTGAACAAACTATGGACGAGGGTTGGGCGTGCAGACTTGGTACGCACCCGCGCCACTTGCAATTGCTGGCATGACCGGAATGTTCACTGATTCACGTTTTTTTTTGGTGTTGGGATTGTTCGTTGATTTGCCGAAACCTTGTCTCGGGAATCTTCTGGCTAGCTCTGCGCTTTCGCTGCTACTTTTATTGGGTTGGTCCACCCAAAAAAATGCAAGCCACAAACAATTTTCGGGAAAATCTAGTATTATTTTGGAGACTTGCCTTTTTTTGGGTGAGCCAACCCAAGTGGAAATATGCGACTTACGCAGCTTTTCTTGGAAGGGTAGTTGTGAGCTCACGGGGTTGCTCCAAGCATGGAGGATGAGAGCATAGTGGTAAACCTTGTGCACTGTCGGGCGCCAAAGGCGCATCCTTTTACACCATGTCATGCACCAATCAAAAAATTCAAAGATGTGTTCCTTTTGACGTCCCCAGTGATGTAAACTGTTGTGCCCCGGGCAGGTCCTGATAGCGGTGGTGCTTGGGGTCATGTGGTGCCAGCATCTCCCGCCAATTACTCCATCATATGATTTCTTTGACCTCTTCTGTGGTGTCGGCAATGCTTCAAAAGTGTGGTTTCTTGATGGCAAGGATTCGAAAGTACAAAACCATGCATATGTTTGCAGCACACGTAATTTAGAAAATGTGGGAACCCAAGGCAAGAGCATGGCTATTCCACTGCAAAGTTCGACAAGCTCCTGATTGGTGGGAGGGCGATGGACATTACAACCCCGCCAGGGATTTTGATCCTCAGATCAACCAATAGTTCTTGAGTTCATGCTGTTTGTTGCTTTGGTGTTTGATTTGCTATTGTATGGGTTTCCTGATGGCAACTTGAGCTAAGGGTCGTTATTCACACGATATTATCTATGAAGGAACTTGGTGTTTGTTTGCTTGGACCAGACTGCGCTCCCTGGGGCATGCCAGCAAGACACACGTCGCAGAAAAATTATATCAACGCTTATGGGGCTCTACACCTCCCTTTTGTTGACTTGGGCTACCAGATGGTATCTTTGTACCTATGCTCTGTATGTACATTTGCAAAACTTTCAAACGGCTGGACACCAGTGTATGTCACAATTGGTATTTGGGCAATCAATCAGATTCGAATATGAATACAGGTGCCCAACAACTGATAGCTTGTGCCTGCAAAGCATTTACCTAAGGTGCACATTGATGTGCATTCTACTGCTAGCCAAGCACTGTTACTTTGTCTTGGAGCAGCCAAGCAATCCCCTACTGCAACGACACCGCCGCTGGGAAGACTTCTGCAATCGCACAGCCTACGTATCTTGTTGAAAGATATTTGACCTATCCCCAGCCATGTACGCTATATAGACAGATATACTTACAGTTAGCCAATGCCTGAAACCTATATATTGTTTTCTTTGGATCCACGGGTGAAAACAGTTTAGCCCGTTTCTGGGTGGTTGCCCGCTGAACAAAATATCAGATAAAATATACCCTTACCTGGACCCCTTCCACCAAACCTAGTTGCTTAGCCAGTGGCTACACAGTAAACCTTTTTGGGCCCCTAAACATTTTCTAGCTACTTCCCACTTCCCAGGTGTGGCGGATGGAGTTCTGGATGCAGCTGCTTGGAGCGGCCTCTGCCAAGAGGACTGTGGTATTCTCCAGTGGTTCTTGGATCCAAGGGCTGAACCTGGGAAAGCTCACGAAAGCAATGAGGGAGAAACTCACCACGATTCAGCCAACCCGTTGGGGGCTTATGGTTTCCTGAGTTATGCAAGTTGGTGCTTATGTCTTTTAAATAACTTTGGGTTTGTGACATTCTTAAGCCCTAGGCAAATATACTCGCAATGGGGTGAAGAAGTTCCATGGAACCCGAGAACTGAAGCAAACAGGGCCCACTCCTCAGCTGACTTCCTCTCTTGATCTGTTGAACTCTACCTGGCTTTATTCTTGCCCAATACAATTTGGCCCCAGGTGTTATCCTGAAGGCTTTGGACTTCAGTTGCTCAAAGTCTATGAGGGTCGGGGTCCAACAGAGGCCCCTCTACGCTTCAAAACCAAGATTGACGCATGCAAGTCCGATCGCCAAATATTCCAGGAGATGCCATTAGGGGACCCATGGATAGACTCCAAGCTTCACTTGGCTTGGGCCTACTTGTACCGATGCAAGTATTTGAGAATACCTGATAGTTGGGCTGCAGCTATCAAAGAGTTTGACCAAGACCTTTCCTCGACGGTTTCTTGACAGTTAAGATACTTTTGTGACTGAAATGTGCAGCTAAAATCTTCCTATATAGACGCTGCCTGCTGTGCAGCCAAGGTTACTATTTCTGAGGATGACCGCCGGGCCTTGAATGAGCTCATAGCTGAATGCAATGCCAAATAGAGCTATTTACAAATTCGTTCCTAATTCGCCTTCAATTTCCGAAGCCACGTTGCTTAGATGTCGCAACGTGTGAAAAATAGGAGATTTCGCATGTTTCAGAGCATTTTTACGATTTTTGTCGCAAACGAAACGGGCGCAAAAAAAACGCAAAACGAGCGCAAATTCGCGCAAAAACGCGCAAAAGAGCGCAACATGAAAAAAATGCTCTTTTCGGTAGGAACATGTTCCGAATAAGTTTTCATTCGTAGAGCTGTGGATCAAGATACTTTAGCTTCTATGTCGACTGACCGTTTGTCTTCTTGCCAAACCTTAGCCTACGGGTGTGAGACTGTTGAGAAGATGAATGAGGGAACGTCATACGCAGACCCTGCTCGAGTCCAAGCTGTTCGAATCCAAATTGAGGCCAGTAGCCTTCTGCCTATTGAAGTCGTAATTCGAAAATATGAGGGAGGGTGATCCCTTTTGGTGGTTTTTGACCCTTTTGGACACATATAGGAATTGACATGGGATTTGAAGAGATGTTTCCCGCAAGCTACACTCCCCAAAATATACGTTATTTCCTGGTGGATGGTAGCTCCTCTTATTCCCAAAGCTCATGGCATTTCATTTGCCATTGTCCCACAATTGGGTTTTTCCAACAGCTACATAGTACAATTACTTGGCTTTGACGCAGCAGCCTCTCAGGCCTCTCACATCTGATATGTTTCCTACCTTCTCCCTTTGGGCTGCCAGGCGCGAAAGAAGCGCATCGCCGAGCTCCAGCAACGAATTGGTAGTGCCGCACCTCCACCAAAGGAGGTTCCAGGTTGGGAGTGGAAATTTCACATGCTTGGTGTGTGTGTGTGTGTGTAACATCTGAATAGATGTAAAACTTCTTCTCTCTCTTTTTCTTCCTTTGTCCTCTCCCTTTCTAATTCTAAACTAAATTAAATTTAATGCAGGGGGACTGGAGCCGATTTGCCTATCCAGTCCAACGAAGCTATGGCATTTCGGTGGATGAGTGGTCTGATCAACCACTTGTACCTGCAAAACTCAGTTTGAACTGTTGACCATGCTGTTACACTGCGTTGTTTCGAATCTACACGGTTGCCACAATCTGTATTGCATGCATCAGAACCTTCCTCAGATTTTCGCCGAAACCACGTCGCCGACAGTATTATGATTTTTTGACATATTTTCGCCGAGATCATGAACTTTGGGTCATTTTGGGAAACAAAACCATCTAGGCTGGTTTGCATGTTTCAGGATTCAGTTCCTGCCGGATCATATAATGATCCATTCTTGTCTAGTGTGATTTCCATGGTGGCTCCGACATGGTGCCATGGAGCCATTTGAGGCAACCCTTCTCAGGGTGAGTGTCGACAGTCTTGAATTCTGAATTCACACATTTTAACTCAGTAATTCGTCTAAGTAAAGGGCAACAGTCAGCCTTTCGGTTTGGCACCTTTTTCGAGAATTCCCGCGGCTCCAGATGTCCCAGGGACCCCAGTGATCGGTTTCTCTCTCAGCGTGAGATCGTTCGGAACAACCAGAAACTCCTTTTTTGACACTGCAGCAACTTTTGCAGCATCATCGCATCATGTCACGACATTTGAATTAGGCAGGCACACGTCTTGCAGGTGTGGTTTTCTTCCCTTTTGGTTCTCTGGTGAGGTGAAACATATTGTGCACCTAATTCGTTGGAATTTGATAGCTGTTTGATGCCATTGGGGCACGACTTGACCACGGGCCTGTTGTGGCACAATTGCACGAACAGTAGGTCTAGGAGCTGAGTCCTGTTTGTTAACTACTTGTTTTGGTTTTGTTTGTCATCAACTAGTCCCCCATTTGGTCCCTAATTCTCCCCGCGTGCCTCTCCGTAATGTGTCGTGGGGTTTAGGTGTGTGCGCTGTTTTTGTCAGGTCCGTTTCGCCGTGTAGGTTGGTTCTGGAGGTCCGTCTGTTCCCCTCCCCCCCCTGCGCTGTTTTTGGCCGTTTGCCCTTCGTGTGTCCGCTTTTTTCTTCCTCTTGCCTTTCAGGGTTGACCCGGCTCCGGCCGGGTGTGTGTGTGTAACATCTGAATAGATGTAAAACTTCTTCTCTCTCTTTTTCTTCCTTTGTCCTCTCCCTTTCTAATTCTAAACTAAATTAAATTTAATGCAGGGGGACTGGAGCCGATTTGCCTATCCAGTCCAACGAAGCTATGGCATTTCGGTGGATGAGTGGTCTGATCAACCACTTGTACCTGCAAAACTCAGTTTGAACTGTTGACCATGCTGTTACACTGCGTTGTTTCGAATCTACACGGTTGCCACAATCTGTATTGCATGCATCAGAACCTTCCTCAGATTTTCGCCGAAACCACGTCGCCGACAGTATTATGATTTTTTGACATATTTTCGCCGAGATCATGAACTTTGGGTCATTTTGGGAAACAAAACCATCTAGGCTGGTTTGCATGTTTCAGGATTCAGTTCCTGCCGGATCATATAATGATCCATTCTTGTCTAGTGTGTGATGTATTGGCGTGTATATGCGTGTGACGGCTGTGAACCCAATAAGAAATTGTCCCAGTGGGGGATCATTCTTGATGTTACACATGATGGGAGACCCAAAAGGATCGCCCCCGTTGTGGATGTTTCTTAAAAAGGGCCCCTGAACCGACCATTGGGGGATTATTTAATGTCACACATGGGGAAACCCAAAAATGACCACCCCCGTTCGGGATTGGAATTTCATTATCCCTCAAACCAATATCAACATCATATTTTACATCAGACACATGGGGGAAACCCAAAAGTGATCCGCCTGTTTAGGGATGTTGGTTTTTGGGTTTACCAGATCAGCTCCTTTCCAATGTATCTGCCTGTCCAGGCGGTCCTTCCTATGCTTCTGGTGATGGTGAATACGTTCCTGGAAACCCCAAGGATTCTTTATCCCGTCACCCACTTGGGGAGGTTGGGTCTAAGCCTCGATCGGACGACAGTCTGGGTGGAACGACACCGGAGTATGAGAGTTACTGGCGTGTTGAAGAACGTGAAGCAAAGAAACAGGCCAAGGCATTGGCCAATTGTGAGGGTGACAATGACCAAAAAAAATTGAAGGAGGTTCCCTCAAACGTCACTCCTGGTGAAGGGTCCACAGGGAAGGGCAAAGAGCATGAGGTCAAGGAACCAGAGGGATGTGCTGCTGATCCTGTTCCCAAGGTCAAAGGTGAGGTCAAGGGTACATGCAGGCAACCGGAACAAGGTGAGAAGGGGCATGCTCCAGGTGGAGATGGTGTTGACAGGGAGCGTGGGGAGGGGCATGCCCCACCCTCCGATGCCAATGAAAGTGACTCTGATGACTCTATCCCCTTGGGCTACTCACCGTCCTCCCGAGCGCCAACCCAAAAGAAGCCTTCGAAGTTTGACAAGTACTACTATAAGCCCCTGGACTGTTTTTAGCATTGGCAATTGCAATGGGGTTATGTGTTATAATATATGTATACCATATGCCTGGTGGGGCTGCTGCTGAGGCTTCGTCGATATGTGAACGCTGATGGCTCCAGGGCTATTTGTAAAGCAAGTAAGGACACCCTTCAGCTCTGGAAGACGGAGGATGGACGCTACTCATCTTTTGTTTCTTGTGATTGTTAAGTTACTTAAGTAAGCTGCACTCCATGTACCTTGCAATCAGTTAGCAAGCCTAGGTGAAAAACTCAAGGCTTTGCTGGCCCAGCACGAGGATTTCAAGAAGATGGAATTGGCCGTCTCCAAGTGGGTCAAGAGCACGAAAAATGATGGTAAAGCAGGGAAGTGGATCACGAAGAAACTTCTGATGAGTGACTATAAGTATGACAAGTACCATGACATGAAATATGTCTTATCCCTGCTCTTTGTTCTCTTTTTACCTATCATCCAGGTGCCTATTTCCTTCTAGTCCAACATTTCTAGTCCAACTAAGGGACATGGTGGAGAAATCATGGCGATGGGCCGCTGCCCGTGGCCGAATCAGAACTAATGAAATGCATGGTGTGGAGGAGGCCAAGCTGGTCTTAGAAGAAAATTTTGCAGAGAACACCGAGACCGGAGAGATGAACCATCTTGAAAGCAACGGGCTCTTTGAGGCTAGGTTTGTTTTCAGAAAATCTAGGCAACATGATGGTGAATTCCGTACTCTTACTCTGAACCACTGCTGCGTAACACCCAACTTAATGGCAGGACACCGATGGCGTCCTGTTGGATGCAACAGCACCCTCTGACGAAACCGCGGCTCCCAGTGCACCTAATTCTCAGCAGGCTAAGGAAGCAGCCCTTGCAGCCGCTGGTGGGGGGGCCAACAAGAAGCTACTTGGGCGAACATATGGACATCTTGTAATCATGCAAGTGATGTGGTGATCATTAACTTATCTATAGCAACCCACAAAAAATAGAACAGTGAGAAACCCTGGAAATATGAACTAAATATAATCTATAACATCCTGGAAACATGTTCTATCGGTTTTACTCCCATGCTGTACCTGAGGCTGGTGTTTCCTTCGATTCAGCGCAATGACTCGCCTTTGTCAATCTTGCCCCAGTGGCTATCGGTGCTGGGCAAAAAGGTGGATGCTGCATCCGTTACCCAGGACCCATGGTTGGTTTTGAGGGGCACTTGATGCTACTTGGAAAGTATTTGGAATACTATAGGGTTGGAACGGCAAAACTATAATAAACGCCACAGATTGTTACCAAGTGAACAGCCTTTCTTACACAAATGCAGGAGCGTTTGATGGCCAAGAACATCCACCGGGCTACTGAGTGTCTTGGCTTCAAAACTGCACAGTTTGGAGACCCAATTGAAACTGCAATTAAAATAGCACCTGTTTGTCATGAGTCAGGATTGGAAACGAGATGGCTGCCATCATCAAGCGAATGAATGGCTACTATGATTCCTTGAATGCCAAGCAGGCTGAATACTTGGCCACGGATCTCTCGCAGCAGTGACTTGGCAATGTTCAAAGTTGCGCCAAGTGACAACAAAATAGTAATTTTTGTGGAAAACAAATACCTTCATGTCAAAAACCCTTCCGCGATTGCCGAGGGATTGCGATGGATTGAAGAAGGAGGTGTCGGCTCTCTATGCCAGCTGCACCAAGGATGATGTGACCCTGAATAACTACATCACCCGTTCCAAGTTTTTTGTCAAAAGTCTACATTCCTTTTCTGCATGGCTCTGCTGAATTTAGTTCCAAAACTTCTGGAAGCTCTTTGAATATATGGGACTGACTGTCTCAAAATATATCATATATATATATATATCGATCTTATGTATATATATATATATGTGGCTGAGGAACATCAAGACCCCGGCGCCTTCCACCAGATCTGAGAACCCGCCTGATGCAGTGAAGAAGGAACTTCCCAGCAAGCGTCCTAAGCGCAAGTCTGCTGATGGTTCCAAGGGAAAGCGCAAGCATTCAGAGGCAGATGAAACGGAGCCAGTTGAGAGTGGAAGCAAAGCTTCCGGTGCATCCACAGAGAAAAAAACTCCTAAGGAGAAGAAGAAGGCTTCCAAGGTTGAGAAGCCCAAGGCTAGCAAGAAAGCAGCCAAAAAGTGAACCACTTGAAATGGTGGCGTCAAATTTTGATTTGGGTGGACATGCAGCTTCTTCATGCCATATTCCCAGTTCAAACCACTGAAATATTTTGAAACCAGAGCGTTGCAGGATGCTCTGCAATGTTGCTTTGGCAATGGGGGAGCTGTGGTGCAGCAGTGTTTCTTAACATTCGGAGCAGATGGGGTAAAAAGAAAAACCGCTGCAGCTTCAAATCTTTCCCTTTTCGTTTACCCCCGCTTGGATTCCGTATGTTTGCCAGGTGAACCATTGCATCCGGAAAAACCACCCAGGGGGGTATTGCCTTCCGTTTTCCTCCTTGGAACCTTGCACTGACCCTGCCAGCCCCTTCGCAGGTCCTGACTCGGATGAAGATGGCGGCAACAGCTTGGGCCTTGGCACAAACTGCCGCTTGCACTGGTGATTGATGGGGTGTGGTGCTTTTGAGGTGAACCTTGTGGGCCTGCGTCCGATTCTGATGATCTTTTAGATGCCATGCTAGAGGACATGGAAGAAGGAGCCTTTTGGACCCAACATTTTTGAACCTCATGCGTGTTGATTGTCATCTATCGGATCAGTATGTGTACTTAATTCTGACTTGAATCTTAGGCCGTATCGGCCAGAAAGATGCTCCGACTAGCTGCCCGGGCATCTAAACGGATATCGAATCTGGGCACCATGGCTATTTGTACACAGCAAATGAAAAACATCCTTTCAATTTCAGTTCATTGATGTTGGACCTCAAACATCTTGAATCCCAGAGGTGGACATGACTACAACCTGGAGGGACTGGGCCGCTACCGCCGATCTCGCTCAGGGCGAGAGCGGGGTGGGAATGCCGCCAGAGACTTCAGCCGGTGGATCCACCGAAACAAGTTGGCATTCCCTGTAAAGATTTCATACACGAGGATCCCAGTGAGATTGAGGAAACGAACCAAGACTGGTGCGAAGAAAGTGCAAACCTCTGCAGTTGAACACCCTATCATCTATTTCTCGGATTGGTTTAAAGCCATCATGGCCAGCTTTCCAAATTTTTTTTTGTGCGGCTACGACCTACATCGGGATACAGAGAAGTATATGGACATGTTTGCAACTTTCTGGATGAACTTTGAACCGCTTCAGAGTGCCCATCCGGTCTACCAAAAGACCCCTGAAGAGAGACAGTGGTGTGTGCCTATCGCTTTACATGGTGATGAAGGCCGTGGTTTGGCCAAGGTCCCGCTATTGGTAATTTCCTTTCAGGTCCTGATTCCATTTACAGGCCCAGAAAACCTTTCCCAGACAGAGCCCCTTGAACCAAAAATGTTTTGGGATATTTTAGTTGGATTATTTTGGGATATTTGGGATGGTGTTTGGGATTTGAATAAATGTGGGTTGGTTGACTTGAAGCAACTGAGGCATTCTTTCACAACACGATTGCTGTACACATTGATTCCGAGTACATGGTATTCCGGGGACTCTTCAGTGGATGGCTTGCTAAGAGCGATGGCGTCGGATTTGACTAAGTGTTTTGAAGAAGGTATCCCTGTTGAAGTTCCTTGCCGGAGCCTATATATATATCATATAGGTGCCAACTATATAAGGAAAAAAAGCCACCATCCGATTCTCTGCTGCTACCTACCCTAGGTAGGTCAGAACAGCTGCAAGTTCTTCCCGGTATTCACTGCCAACAAGGGTGATTGGCCTTGGTTGAGAAAGAGCTACCACCTTCGAACAGGTTTCACATCAAAGCGAAAGTGTCACATATGTACTGGACATGAGCCTTGATTTAAGGTGCACAGGTTTTTGGATTAAAGCGTGGTTCAACCCCAACATCTCTTGATCTCAGTGAAATTTTATATCCGCTGGTGTGTGCTAAGGAGTGGTGGGATGTGACTGCAAATGGTGAAGCCCGCTCTTTCACTGGAGAGGCACCATCCCCCTTCAAGACTAGACCAATTTCACCACTCAGGACCATCCCCGGCGGAGACTGTGTGGAGGCAATCAAAATTGACCTGATGCATGTGTACAACCTTGGATTTGGTGGTGATTTCGTATCGTCCGCGATTTTGTTGTTGGTGCGCATGAAGTGCATCTTCGCAGGGCGTAAAATTGAAAATCGCTTGGATGATGCGTATGAAAAATTTTACTCCTGGTGCGTTCGTCATAAGAAAACCACCTCAGTTCCAAGTTTTGAACCTGCAAAGTTCAAGGTTACTAAGTGGCTTGTTTATATTTGGCAGTTTTGCTTTCATGGGTATGTCGTGCTGGCTTGTGTGCGCGTATTCACTGCGGTGGGCTATATAATTTAGAAGCCAAGGTCAGGAGCATTCCCCAAAGGCCCTGGCAAAGCATTTGACACTGCCCTGCTTTGCAAATGGCTGGACGAAGAGCTGCAACAATTTGATTTGGACACCGTTGCACCTTTGCTGATATGTTTTAATGCCAGTACTGGTTGCTTTCTTATTTGCTACAAACTGACAGTATGTCTTTGTTACTTTGCACGCTGGAGGTCTCAGTTCGAGATCGTGAACTTTTGGAGCTTCTGCGCTGGACATGTTCGGCCTCCAACAATTTTTTCCATTTGCTCTACCATCAGGGCATGTGGATACCGAGGGATGTTGCCAAAGAGGCAGTAGATCTTGGGTTTTGTGTGGGGGACGCTTGGATGTCACTAGCTACAGAAAAGTTGGAAAGCTTTCAATCAAAGACAACTGCCTGAAACTCTGTGGCCCTGAGGAGGGGTACACTGGACTAGCAAGGCTTTGCGCTGAAAGGAAGTGGCGTTTTTTCAGGGTGCTGCCGAAAGAATCTTGACGCATTGGGCTTTTCATGTGCTTGTTGCTATGTGGCCCTTATTGTCCTTCTTGTTAATGTTTGCGTCACTTGTTTTGAGGTACATCTCTTTACCCATGTACCGCACCTTAACTCAAGCTAGTTATTGAACAAAAGGCAACATGTGCACAAGCATTCTGCGAGGCAAACAATGCAAGATGAGCTCTCTGACCGGGGAAAACAGTTCATAGCTAATCCCTTGCTGTGGGCAGTTTGGTCTGACGAAGATTATGTAGGGAAGGTCTGCCGGCTGGCACGCCGCGTGCAGGCCTCCCGGTTAGTTGTGCTGCGTGTTTTCACCAGAAGCCTTATGCAATACAAAAGGCACTTCGAAAAAAAAATGGGTTGACCTGGGATGGATACAACGTTAAAATTCAATCAGCTATTAACTCTAAGATGGTGTCGTTAACCTACATTTTTGAAAGCCCCATCCCAGAATGGTAGCCAACCCTTCTTTGCCGGGCTGAGTCCCCGGCTGTGATGTTTCAGTGAAGATGTGGCAGCCCAAGTGAAAGGCACGAGCGTTTTCTTGCATGTCGAGCGTTTCTTGGTTGGGGAGTGGTTGGGAGAAACCCCCGTGCAAAAAAGAAACAGAGCATTAATTTATGTATCAATGGATGCACTAGGTATATTATATACGTGTTTTTTCCCGACAATTTTTTTTTGCACAGGTTCGGGTTGAAACCTGCGCGCTTTGCGCGGGTGGATCAAGAGTGGGTGCGCCCCTCGCTCTTTAGTGGCTCAAGCAGCACTGGCATGACGGTTCGAAAAGGCTTCGAGCCCAGGACCAAATTTCTCGTGTTTTCTTAATTTCCAAATTTTCAACCAAATTAAATTCGCATGTTAGGATA